ACAGACAGAAAAGGAGAAAGATGAAGGCAAGAGACTCTCACAGAAGGAGGGATGGGAGAAAGAGGTACAGTAGGTGTTGAGACATGATGAAAAATAGGGATGACAGACAGGAGGAGAGGGATGAGTTGATAGAGAGGGAAAACATGAGGGTTAGGACAGGGTGAATAGTCCAATCTGGTGCTGCAAGGTTTTTTTTTTTATTAATGTTGAATCTGCCAATTATTTTCTATATTAGAATACTGAAGTGTTTCTTCGAATGTTTGCCAAACCCAACATTTTTTCATTTACATGACAAAAGAAAATAAGCAAATTCTTACATTTGAGAAGATGAAAGCAGCAAATGTCACTAGAAAAATTACTAAAACATTAAATTGTTTAAGAAAATTGTTGCAGATTCATTTTCTTTTGATCAACTAATCAATTAATCGTTGCCGGAAACAATCATATTGTAAAAAAAAAAAAAAAAAAGACCACTTGGTGTCAAAGATGTTCAAATGCCCATTGAATTAGTGGTCAGTGAAATGTGGGAAATGGCATATCACAGACACTTTAAATCTTTCATTTCGAAAGATCAATCATACCAAATGATTGATTACTAAAATGGCCACTTAAACATTATTCTTTTTCCCAGATGGATACTGCGTCTTAATTTTTTCCCCCGTTATCACCCAAGCCTCTCAAGCAGAAAAGACACTTCTAGAACAGTTCGAAAACAGTGAAATAGATGGATGTAAAATTGAAATAAAAAGCTAGAGTAGTGCTGACTCATAGCTTTCTTTGTATGTGGCCTTTTCTAAATTCGGCCTGTAATAATAAAATGTTGCCAGATGGTTGTCCAACCTCAGAATATTCTACTAAAGCCAAAAAGCCATAAAGCCATAAAAAGCATAGCACGAGTATAATGTAGCTTCCACATGTTAGTACAACAATTACAGAGAGAATCTACATCTGAGACAACAAAAGACATTTTCCACAAAAGACCAACTGGGTCCAGGGCATAAACCAACACTCGTCACTCAGTGTTGTCTCTCCAAACTGAAACGCTCCTATAAAGCTCATTGGTCAAGTTCTGAGTGTCTTTGTGTAGGCATGAAGTGTTGGAAATGCTATCCTGTCATGAAAGGAAGTGATGACAGGCATGGTGAGGACTTCATCCCGTCGGCCTACACGATAGATTTACTGTAATGTGGCCTTAAATGAAGGCTTTTAAATCTGAATCTCTCATTATTAATATATCCATATTCACTGACTCATAGGTTTACTGATCTATTTTATGATAGACAACCACTGGCAAGCACCCGTGACTGGATATTATCTGCAAAAAAAAACAAAAAACAAAAGCTGATAGCTACCTTATTTATTCTCTCCCTGATTCCCATGTTTCACACATGGGAATCCATTCAGACATTTACAGACATGCATGGATCTGTTTGAATACTCAAGTCAACAGAAACATTAACCTGTACAACATGCTGAACAGCATTCTCTTTGTAATCCAGATGAGTTTTACCTCCCTATACTTGCACTTTCTTCCCCTGAATTAGCAATCAGCCAGTTTTTCGACTAATTTTGAGGGTTGAAGCTGGGTATCATGATTATACAGCGCTAAGTGCAGTTCTTAAAAAAGACAACATAACTCGTGCCAGTCAGCGTGACAAATGTTATGTAAAAATCAAGCAGGGCTCATAAAATACTTCATTTTATTCCTTTTTGTCTTACTCAAATAACTGTCCCAGCAGCCCATAGAGGACAGACTGCCTGGTTCACTGAATAGGCCAATGAGCCAGCACAGCTCTACGGGATTGGCAGGAAAACAGAGAATTCAACTTGAGAGTTGTCACTCTGACAAAAATGTAATTGGCCCCTCTTGCTGAGCGGGAAAACTAATTGGTTTGACAGCACTGAGGAGGCAATCTAATTGGCTAGGTAATGTCAGTCACAAGAGGGCAAGGGGGGGAGGGGGGACGGGACGTGGTGCCATCTGGGTGTCAGCAAACCGTTAGATAATCCTGGGGTCTCTCTTCTTCTCTCTCTATGCACTCCCATGCTGTCCTGATGACAACTGCTGCCAGCCTGTCTGCCATGTCTTCACTGAGGCCATTCAGAGACATTCACACAGAAAAACCGCAGCTTCAGACTACAACAGCTGACATCACCAGCAAAAGTGTTAAAGGCTCAAGTTTCTACAGAGTACTGCGAGTGTGAGTTTGAGAGAGAGAAAGAAAAAAAAATTAAATCACGCATACATCAGTCAACGCTGACTTTCAACTACTTATGTGTGTGTGTGTCTGTATCTTTGGAGTTTTATCAACCACTCTGGAAGACGAGTGTGTTTCTTCCCTGCAGAGAACATAGTCTTCGGTGGTAGCGTTATCAGCGTTTAAGTGTTTTTTGAGTGTAAACAGCAGCTACTGGCTGGAGGCTAACACCAACGGAGCCTTTTTGCACCACTGGATCAATCGCAAGCAGTGCAACGCCAACTAATACTCACTACAAAATATTTCAAGCTGTCAGAACTGGGGGGGTGAGGAGGAAACAAAACGATACACAAGAGATTGTTTGTGGGAGGCCAAGAATTGGAAAAAATACAATCCCTGTTAATCATCGCCTACAGTTCTTCAAAGACGTTGGAAAACTCACCTGTGGTCTCTAAGCTACTTTTAATGAAAGTAACAGTGTAAGAAGGAGATGAAGAGAGGCATTAATAAACACCTATGTAATTGTTTCAGCCACCATACAGCTTCAATGTGAACAAACTTATTTTATCATATACCTTGTTTCAACTACATTTCTGTCTTTTAATGCTGAATTAAATCATGTTAAGTCTTTGACAGGCACCATCACCCAAAACACCCTGCTGCAATAGCTGAATGCGTGAGCATACAGTCTATTTCAGTTAGCTGAGCCTACTGGACGTGACCTCGTTGTGCTGGTAAAGTGAGCGAGGCAGACAAATAGCAGTCTCACAAGCATAACATCTGACCATTACTGTAGGCCTTCTGTGTGGGAGGGTGGCTGGGCAAGACGACTACCAACAGCTGCCTCAGTCCAAAAGAAAATGCACAGAAATTTTTTTTTTTTAAAAAATAACCCACAGATAAATACTCCCACGCAGACACACAAGCCCTGCAGAAAAGCACACACAAACGCACATATATAAACACACAGGGCTGGCTGTGACTGGCAATCCCAGACATCCTGTCAGGCGATCACTAAGCCAGTCACAGTTCATTTCAGCTCTACGCTGGCTGTTCTCTACAAGAGTACTCAACCAACCACAGAAAATTCCATCCAGCTCATTCCATTTATTTGCAGACAGAAAATCTTACAGAGTACCTGCCTGGTCAAACATCTCAGTCTGAACATGTACAGCTAAGGAGTTGCTATGTGGTTAGTCAAAACAGGGCTTTTTGTCACCAACTTGCTTGCTTGCTTGCTCTTCCCTGTTATGTTTAAGGTTTTTAACCATTTTGGTAACTCATTTTCTGTCTCACTCACTCATCCAACCCTCCCCCCTCATATCCTTTCCGGCTGCTTTCCACTATACAATGTCCCAAAGGGATAAAATGCTCTAAAAATACTGATGACTTGTTCACTGTTTTGTGTGGAAGAGGAAAGATGCCTGTCCAACTGAAGCTGCAGTGGCCTCTCTAAACACCTTTATGTTTTGAAGGATTCCTCTGAGAGTGTACATGCTGCCTGGAGACGGAGGAGGAGAAACAAGCATGGAAAAGAGAGGCGGAAGGGGTTTGCAAAATCTGAAGGTAGGCAGCTTAGTGGGGTGATGCAGCCAAGCAGCAGGAGATAGAGGACACTGGAAGAGGGCAGAGCGGGAGGAAGAGGACACCAAGCATAGACAGGAAACAGCCAGTTGGGGTTAATCATCTCCTGATGCGACAGTGTTATAGGGCAAAACTTCTAAACACAATTTACACAGACAACTATATAGCGGTTGTATATTCTGCACATATAAATACAAAGAAAGACTTCAAAAGACAAGCTTCCCCTTACCCAACCTTGGAATACAAGACATACTGAAGCAGGGTGACACAAGAAATTGCCCTATGAAAGTGCACACACACATAATCTCTTGTGAGGTGCAAATCAATTCCACAGGGAGCAGGCCTGGTCGAACACTCCTTTGACAGGCAAAAAGGAGGAGTAAATGCTGACAGTGTAGAGTGTGGCATTAGTGGAAAATATGAAAAATTGCCCTGCTAGTGGAAAGTAGCAGCCTTCAGCCAGACAAAGGAATGGGAAGCGGTCTCCTGTCATGCTATATGTTAGGAGGTGACTGGAAAGATGGATGGATTTGACATCTAATGTCTCATCTTCTCCAGTATCCACCCCATCTCACTATCAAGAGATCTGCCAAAGCATCTACTTCCCTTTATACTGAATAAAAACAAAACGAGGGCCTGTGCTGGCCTGCTACATTAAAGAAGGATCTGCACTGCTGGGTAATCTGTATCCAGATTCTGCACCGCTACCAGTGTTACTCTGCTTAAGGCTACTATTTCTAGTTTAATCTGCAGCACAGCAGGAAACGTGAGTGCTGTAGCTTCCAGGGGCGGGGTATCTTCCAGTCTGCTGCAGATGGACAGTCTAGGGAGACTGAAAAAACAGAGCAACTGGAAGTTGTGGAGCTGCTCACTGCCTCCTTGCACCAAGGGATCCTAACAATAACTGTCTGCAAAGATTTCTGACAGTGTGACCCATCATTGCCCCCAATACAAGGTCCCTTTGTGCTTAGCCTACATTCACTCCAGCACACAATTTCAAGTGCCGGACAGAGGGAGGAGATCAAACTGCATACATTTTAAGGTTTATGCAATATTATGTTTATAAGGCATACATTCATCTGTTAACATGGTGCGTTTGAGGTCCCAAGCAAAGATCTACTCTGCATGCCCTCATTTAGCCAATCCTGTTACACTGAAGGTGGTACAGGAGACAGACGGACTGGCGAGACATTTCGGAATCTGTGTCAAATTACTTACATCTCAAGCATGATCTCGTTCAGGTAAATCCCATCCACTAATTCAATATATTCCGATAATTTGGTGCCGTCGGTCACCGTCGGCTGCCCGACTGTCTTCACCTGAAAAATAAACGGGACAATGCAAGTAGGTGTTAAGATCAATCAATAAACACTTGCAAGAAATGCTTTTACAGGGCAGAGGTGTTTAATTAGTGAGCTTAAAGACACATTTGAATTGTTAATTAGAGCGCTTACCCAGCAGACTAGAGGCGTGAGCATGAACTGCTCCAGCAAAGGGGTGAAAACCTCACTTTCCATATTTTCCAGGGCAACTGGCGCCGTTTATTTCAGCAGATATGGAAAAAAGAAAAACACCAGTGCGCTCTTTGGGAGAAAGATGCGTTTGTTTAGGCTCCACTCATGTAGCTGATACAATTAAATCGACGCTCATTTTGGCTGGCAGCCACTGTAAAACAGACGTCCGGGGTTTCTTGGAGATATTCGGGTAAAAGAGGTGGGGGGGGAAGAAAAAAAACGTTAATCCACAATCTTCTCGACACGACCCAGCTGTTTCAGATGCCAACGACTGGGCTTGGCTACCTCATGGGAAGCGCAAGGAATCACATTTTTTTGTATAGCTAAGAGGTATTCTCTATCCGAGGGTCCGCTGGTGTAGCTCGCAATCTGCAGAAGCGAGAAAAGGCAGACTACATGAGACCTGTGCCAGGTATGGTTTTAATGATAGCTGGGGTGTGGGGGAAGAAAGGACCGTTACTGGCAAAAGATCAACCTTAAAGAGAAATAATTACTCCGAAACGACTCAATAAAAGAAATTATCCAGTGCGGGGGGATCCAGAGGTTTAAGGTCCTTGGTTTTATAATCTCCTCATATTAATTGTGAAGTCATTTGTGACCGGTCACTGATCTCCTCTCCTGTCTGCCTCCGTTCAAATGCAGCATACTAATGAACAGGGGGAGTTGAGAGGATGACTGGAGGACACTTAGTACCGCCTCCCTCCCTGTCTGTCTGTCTCTCCCGTGCATCTCCCTCCGCCTCTTTCGCTCTGAAGGGAAAATAGGGCATTGATCAAAGCATCCCTCTGTGTTTAGATTTCTTCCTCAGGTCCTGGTGTCAGTGATGGTGCTTAGAAAAAAAACATTTGGTCATCGAGTACAATTCAGTTATTTGATGAGCTGTGTTGGAAAGAAGCATTTAATGTGTTTAAGGAGTGATGCAGACATAAATGGGATGGGACTAAAGTTTGGTTGCAGGTCTGATGTTTATGTGCTGTGGCAACATCCTTTTGCTTATTTTATGCCTTGTCATGTAGAAATACTGGGGGATTCATGCGTATCTTTTGTCTGCATTTGCGGTATACAGTACATTAGAGCAGAAAGGCAAGTAGGCTACTGACACCTGGTGGGTAATGTACAAAGAGGCAACTGATGCACAGTGAATGATATGTCTGTGGGCGTTAACCAGATCCAATGAAAGAAATCGCTCTTATCAAAGTGACATGATGTACTTCCCTCCTGTGGGAAATGCATTGGCCTGTTTGAGGGACACCCAGCAGTGAGGATCTCAAGGAAATGGCTACTAAAGGAATACATTTCTGGTTGTAATTGAGACATTTAAGGCTTTATTGAATTGTGATGTCAGTTTTCACTATTTTGTACATTTTAGATTTATTAAATACTGGATGTTTCTAAATACGCAAAAAAATAGCCTACCATCTAAATAAAATCCAAGTTAAGTAATTTGCAAGGATTAGTGGGGATTTACTGAGATATATGCAGCTATTTTGAAACAAGAAATGGACGGTGAACTTCAGTTTGTACCTGCAGCCAGTTATTTCAAACACACAGTATTTCTTTTAGCTGTATCAGCAGCGAGGTAATGACTGATAATAAGTCCAGACACACAGGCCTTCACTACAGAGGCAGGAGACACCTAATCAACAATTGATGAATGGCTCTGTGGGTGTGAATAGGCAGCAGAAGCTTTTGGCCAAATAGCCAATTAAAACACAATCACTGATTTGGGAACTAGGGACCTGGGTCACCTCTCAGGAGCCCAGAATAAATGGATTATTTTATGTTTCCCTAAAACTTTTATTAAGCACATTTCAGCAGCAGCAGCAGCTCTGTTGGTTAAGCAGAGGTTCTCATTTGCATTTAGAATAACGGTCGCTGTGGTTGGTGCCTGAGCTTGAGGCTATACAGTATGAGATCCTGACTAGACCTGTTGTGTCTTGTTTTCTGTAAAACGTGTTTAACAGGAGGGATGTAAGCTCAGGGAGGGAACACCAGGAAGTTACAGTATATGACAGAACAGTCAAACAAAGTCCTCTTTACATTAAATATGGTTTTAACAGGTTATGTATAACGTGTTATCTTTGGCCACCAGCCTCTACAGGTAAGAGACTGGTTTGGGGTAAGATATGACATGTTTGTGCTGCAAAAGGGCCTTTTAGAGACTTTCTTCAAAACCAAATGGGCAATAAGTATACCAATACTTGTTTCTGTGGAAAGGCCACAACATTAAATATCTTGCATACTGAACACCAGCACTATTGCATACATTTTCCTGTTTTATGTTAAAATTAATTTATTTTAAAGCCTCTGAAAATGTTTCAAATGTTAAAGTGAGCCTATGTAATAGTTACATTGAACATCCATCCAACCTTTGCTATCATTAGCTACCATTAGCCACCATACCAATTAAACTTTACATTTGTAGGAAGAAGAATGTTGTTGTTGTAGTTTTTCTTTCCAAAGTTACATATTCTTGCTTCTCTAAATGTGGTAGTTTGGCCACATAAGCAAACACAACATCTGTCATCATATTTTGATTCAAATGTGGCTAAATCGGGATTGGCAGAGATGCTTAAACATGACATCACTTTTTTTCCAAGTCCCACCCACTTTAAACCATTGAGGAGAGCCTGGACAAAACTATAAATATAGAGAAAATCTCTCCTGTGAAATGTGCTGATTGAGAGAACTCTCTCAAGGCTTTTAATAGCTTTTACAAATTGCCCCCCACAACAGTTAAATTTCCTCCCCGGAAATCAATGAAGTTTATCTAATCTTAATGATGTAAAATAAAAAGGGAATTTACTTCAGAATCTACTCAAATGAAGCCTTTCGCTGTGGCAACCCACACACATCTAACCCTATCACCCCAGCATACGCAGATAATGAAAACCTTTCAAGGCTTGTGTAGTGCCTGCTTACCCACACAGTTGAACACAATTATGTTCTGCTCAATTACTGTGGAGGATTAGATGGATATTTTGTATAGCTCAATGTGTTTGTGATTGTGTATTTGTGTTAGCATTTATTTGCGTTAATGTGGGATTCATTAACCTTGTATTGAACAGGGTGCTCCTGCCTGTTTCATCAGCATCTATTATTCATGATGCTTTTAAGAAGTTTTGTCACAAAGCAGCATCCACCTCCACCTAATGACTCAGTGATGGTAAAGTCCCACAGCAGCATTCCTCACACACACACACACACACACACACACACACACACACACACACACACACACACACACACACACACACACACACATACTCGGTTATGAAAGCAGGCAACATTACCCAGTGGAAACCCACCCGACCACCTCTTTTGGCTCAAACTCCACAGAACCAGTGTACACATGGAAATGTTTCATCTAGTTGGTATTACTCTAACCCAGGGATAAAAAATAAAAAAAATCCACCGACCACAGGGAAAATAAATTCCCTCTCCAAACCGCATGACCTTACAGCAACTCTCTCAGATAAAATTCTCTTTCTGTCTCCTTTAGATGACGGCAGTTTTTGTTTGTTATATCGCTGGAATTTACAAGTCACCACAAACATTTTGATTTGGAGCTGTGCTGATCTCATTGTGGGCTTAAATGCAGGACAGGCTGACTAATGCTGGACAGAATTGTGTGAGTAATCACCATTTCCTCTGTCTTTTCCATCAACATATAACCTGTATTGACTTCTGCTTAGTTAAGGATTAATACTGCTGGGAGATATTGTAATTAGACAAAAATATGTTGAGTAGTAAAATAGTTTTTTTCCCTTCAGATCCAGGGTTGTGCACAGACACATACCGTATAAAGACACAGAAACACACCCTTTACATATATCAACAAACATTACTTCTGCCTTTCTAGACTGACAAATTAATTTAAAGGTCTGACCTCTATCTTCAAAGTCACTCTGACCATCCACTCTGTCTCCGTTTGTCTCCATCTTGTAGTGATACAATGGGAAATCAATGCCTAACATTCAAATCTCCAGTTCAAATGATTGGAACCCCTCTGACATAGTTAAAACCTGCATAGCATAACATTACAGGGTGAAAAATGTGTGTGTGTGTGTGTGTGTGTGTGTGTGTGTGTGTGTGTGTGTGTGTGTGTGTGTGTGTGTGTGTGTGTCAAGAGATACTTTACAGTTATATCATGAGAGCAATATGATTCTCTTTTCTCCCATCTCAAACCCCAGGCTTCAAAGTGTAGGCTTTAACTCTGAGCATACTGATGGAGGCTTGTTTATTAATCATATTATACCCACTCTAAATGTGTTTATAATGGATTTTAATGTTTTGCACATCATATTTCAGGTTTGTCTTGGTCTCAGCAGAGTCTTTTCAGTCTCTCATTGGACCTCTCTTTGAGTCTCTCAAGTCGAGCCGTAATGACTGCTCTGGATTCAAGGCTTGAGACCAAAATGTAATCAGCTCCAGACCTCAAGGCTTTAAATCACCCTATCTGCCCTCTGTCTGAGAGGCTTTTTAGATCAACAACACTGCAGGGAGCCAATATTTAGGAATGTAGGGGTCAAGGTTTTAATGAAACAAATTTGAGTTACTCTGTATGTTTCATGAACATTTTTATTGTAAGACAAACATTGATTTTGTTTAAGGCATGGGTTGTTTTATTGATGTTGTGAAGATTATTCCCCCTGCTGAAATCCTAATCTTTAAACATAAAAAGTACACTCTTTTCACACTGCTGCAGTTATCAATACACCAGAGAGTGTGCCGTCTTGTATAACCAATAAAAAAATGAAGAATGAATTTAAAGTAAATGAAGAATGCCTCTGTCTTCTGTGTCTTCATCTTATATTCACAAACACACACACACACACACACACACACACACAGATACGCAGCACACACACACACACACACACACACACACACACACACACAATGGGGGTTTTCTTGTCTGCATCCAATCATTAAACTGATCCTCTGAGGTTAATTTATTATGGGAGGATTGTACTGACAAAGCTAACCTTCCATTGAACTGTATGAGTATGGAGAGCTGATTTTCTTTTAGGATATGATAGGATTTTTTGGGGGGCAGCATTATACCTAATGTACCATAACAGGCATGTAATGGCTCCTGGATAAATAGTTCTGGATCTACGATAATGGTGAGTAGTTTATGACAGTTATGGTAGAATAAAGCATCTGTCCACCGCTGCAGAAAACCCCAAAATACCACAAAATTGTCAAATTGTCACGGAATTAAACACTAATGTGGCACTGCTCAAGCAACAAGCTATTCCAAATGTTACAATTCTGCTCTATGTCACTCTTAGACAGTGGAACCTTATTACTGTATGTGGAACCTTGCCATGTGCCTAATCTAATTACCACACTTGTGACAAAGGAAATCATGCCTTGCCAATTCAAGTCGCTATGAGCTGTCTAAATGGTGGTTCCCTCAAGCTTATGCATGTCCATATTAGTTAAAGGAGGGTGGATCCAATAACTGGCTACAGAGTGATGGACGACAGAAAATTATGAATTCAGGTATTTCATTATTACTGCTGGAAATTTTGCAATTCTGCAAGAAAAGTCGTAAAAATTAGTTACAAAAATACATGTCACACAAAAAAGTCTGTTCAGTGAACCTGTCACTGCATGTTTAGCATAAACGATAATCTCCCTTTAAAGACATGTCTAGTTGCCTAGGACCAAGAAAAACCTGTTATCACCACTGCATAAAATCCTGTGAAATCTGCATGTGTGTGTTCATGTGTGTGTCTAACAGGGATCAGTGCAGCGCTCATGCAGGCTGTCCTGTTGTCACCTCCTGAAACACCACAGCATGATAATCAGAAAAACACTTAAACCTCCTGAGTCCCGAAGTGACACACACACACACACACACACACACACACACACACACACAGAGAGAGAGAGAGAGAGAGACACACAAACACACACACACCGGGAAAGGCTTATTTTCTTTTTAACATTATTCCTAATCCTATCCAAAGAAAAAGACAACAAGGAACTAAAACAAAAACTTGTGCATTTGTGCAGTCCATACATGGTCCATCATTCGTTTAGTGTTATGATGTTTTTCTTGGTTGTTGCAATCTCTAAATGTAGCCTGTTTGAATGTCACTTCTCATTAACAACCAATAATCAATCAAATCACATTGAAGCCTTGTCTCTTTACACAGCATGGTCCAAATAATTTCAAGTGTCATAGAGAACGCTGTAAGATGATGAGATGATGGTTTATTAATGTATTGATGTATAGATTGACAGACAGTCAACAGATAAGCAATTGTTTTATACATAGGTCGATGAACATTTACATGAGAAGATTCCCTGAAAAGTAAAGCCTCTTCAAGACAAAGCAACACAGAATCCTCCACTGAGCTGTTTATGATCCTTGTAGTCTACCAAAAAACACTGACGGGTCCATTATGCACTAATAGTCCATGGCTCTGCTTGGTAATAATGAGATGTTCTCAATGTGTCTCGGAGCCATGGAAACAAGATAATACTAGTGGAAACCTTGGAAATAATGGGAATGTGTGTGTGTGAGCTTGTGTGAAATACTGTGATTTGTCCCTGCAATTAGCTGGAGTGCGTGCGCGTGTGCATGTGTGAAAGTAATCCAGAGAGTGTGAGAGATGCTGTTAACACTCATCTGTTGCCATAACAACTGCAGCAGCCCCACTGTCAGTGAGCTGGCTCACTGACTGGCCGCAGGGCTGTCTGGCTAGTAAGCTAACTTCTCGACTGACAGTCTGATCAGCAAGCAAGGTCACAGACTTACTGACTGTCTGAGGTACTGGGCTGTTGGAGAGCATGGAATCAATTGTTTTTCAGAAACACATCACAGTTAACAGCTGGAACAGCTGGCTTGAGCCTGATATTTCATTCTCATTGTAAACTATAATCAAAAGGTCCTTGATGTTTAGTGATGTCTGAAAAGTGGGCAGTGGATGATCAAACTAGAGTGGTGTAGGCATGTATTATGAAAGGGAGGCTGTTGTCAAGTTCTGGAAAATAAAACTGATCTTTTTGAGGAAATGCTGACACCTAGCGGTGAGGATTTCAAATGGCATATTACAGACTGCTGCTACCTTCTCTTCTCTTCTTTGAGAGACGGCTACTTGTTTTAGGAGGGCAATGAGTTGTATTAACTGTATGTATGACAAGTATTGAAACTGTTATTATTATTATTATAATAATATTATTATTGAAATACAGTATGACCCTGTAACAAAACAGCCTATATTACTACTATATGGAGCAATGGCAGTATACACATTGTATACATATAAATGTGTAAAGGTAAAGGAGTAAAATGTTTGTAAATGAATAATTTGATATTCAGTCATTTGTTTATTGGAAACAAACATTTAAATGACAAACCAAGGCTGAAAAACGTCCAATGTAGCTTCAAAACTGTTTTAAAAATGTGAGTTTAAAGGGCCAATGACTGTAAGATATACGACAGCGTGAATTCTATATTAAGAGAATTCTGCTTATATTTAAAAAAAAAAAACTTTAAACCATACTCTTGTAATTAAATTCGAGACACAAACTGGGGCTAACATGCTGCTAGCAGCTAATCCCCGACTGCTACGATAATATAAAGCTGTAAAAGCAAACACCGCAGCTATCTGGAAGCGAACTAAAGCGGAAGTGTTGTATGTCAGGGACAGTTTAGATGTTACACACGCTCCTCAGTTTGTCCAATCAGAAGCTGCGGCTGCATGACGTAATTCCGTACATGTGACGGACTGACATGGAAGCCCCCACGAGCATAGCTAAAGTGTAAAGAACCGAGTGTACGCGTTGACCGGACCCAGGTTATTGTAGTGTTGTGTCCGAGGTCTTTAGTTATGAGGTCTTTGCTCCAGCTGGGGCACTCGTTTGCCCGCCTTCATGTCCGTTTATGTCACCAAAGTGTTTACAGCAGCCATGCTATCCAACGAAGACTGCGAGTGGACCTTGGGGACAAGTGAGTTGACTTTCCCGGCATGCATTCACGTCTTGAGACAGTTAACCAGCGAGGCATGAGGATGACTTTCTTTTTTTCTCTTTTTTTTCTTATCAATAATAGTCTTACCTATGTGTATCAGTCGCTCTGGTACCATCACTTTTACTCATGTAGCTCAGCTGGGATGTGTTGTTATCCAGGACACAGAATTACACAGTTAACTGTATGAAATAGTAGCGTGGTTAAGTATCTCTGTCATTTTGATGTGTTTGTCTTGTTGTTTTTGTAGGAAACTTGAGATCTCTTCAGGGAGGTTTGCTAAATTTGCTGATGGATCTGCTATAGTACAGGTACAGAAAAAATGTCAACAGTGACAAAATGCATGGCAGCACCTGGAAGTTGCTCGATATACACCCTTAGAGGGCTGCACAATGTGGTAAAAACATCATATTGTGGTTATTTTTACATTTTATTCTTATATTAATAAGTTTTCTTACATCTGAAGAACAACATTTGTAGGCCAGAGAATCTCTGCAGAACTACAGTTGCTCATTGTAATGCTGTTGTGTCTCACTTGGCAGCTTCTGCAGCTTGCATATTGTGCTTGGCCGTATTGTGATTTCATTATATTTTGATTAATTGTGCAGCCCTACTCTTTTATCTGTACTCTTCATATATGTTTTATTTCCTTAACATCTCCATGTTGTAATTGCTATTAGTATCTACTATCTTCTACATGTCTATCCGTCCTGGATAATTGTCACCTGTAGTTTGGGGCTTTAAAAATATTTCACTCATGCAAAATATTACTAGTTAAGGTTAGCATATTAAGAAAATATTTATACATCTTTCAGATAAGGGTTGTTTTGTTCTAATGTGGGCTACACATTCATATGGTATGTGTAAAAAAAGTGGCAAAATTACCTTCCATGGAGCAAAATTTACTTCTGACCCTTCATGATAGTTTGGAGAAAGATTTATTTAGACATATTTTTCATGGTACCTTTAGAGAAACAGGCCTTTGGGCAATTAGCCCACTTTATCCAAGTGGTAATCCAGCCTTAGTGTAATAGACAAATAGAAGAAACAAATTGTGCTGGGCAGTCCCAGATGTTTGATGCAATGTGTGATTTCTGTAGATCTTTTGGTAACCTGTTCTATCTCTTTCTCTCTTTGAAGCTGGGAGAGACCTCTGTGATGGTGACTGCTGTGAGCAAAACCAAACCTTCTCCGTCTCAGTTCATGCCTCTTGTGGTATGTTCTCTAACATCACAGTAAAACTCCCAGCCTGCCTTTGTTTTTTAGACTGTGATTGTGTGGACTTTATCTTGCTTTATGTCTCGTTACATATATATGTCACACAAATAGATTTGGTAGAAGAGTTTCTGTGTTGTCTACTTAATAAATGATTTGATTGACAGGTGGACTACAGACAGAAAGCAGCTGCTGCAGGTCGAATCCCCACTAACCATTTGAGGCGAGAGCTTGGCACCACTGACAATGAGATCCTCACCAGCAGACTCATAGGTGAGTTGATAAGAATGTGTCTTGTTATATGTATAACTTATACGTATAACATGTCTCAGGTCTGTGTACTGATATTGTACTGTGAATGTCTTTGACTTGAGTGCTTTGACTAACAGTTCCTCATGTTTCCGTTGCTCAGACAGATCAATTAGGCCACTGTTCCCTGCTGGTTACTTTTATGATACTCAGGTCAGTTCAGTTTGAAAATGTTTTCACCATAATGTGATAATAGGTTTGGTCTCTTTTGATTTTAAAAAAAGGTGATATTAATGTTTATCTGTCTCCAACATCTTGTGCATGTGTTCGTGACTCCTGAAGATCCTTTGTAACCTGTTGGCAGTTGATGGTGTCAATGATCCAGATGTGCTGGCTATTAATGCAGGTGAGTTCAATCTCATCCATGTTTTCCACAGATTGTAGTTTTTTAGATTCTTAGCTAAAACAATGCTTTCTTTCATTAAAGCTTCCACTGCTCTGTCCCTGTCTGACATCCCATGGAATGGACCCATAGGTGAGCAACAGACAACAAATTTAGGCCTATTCACATATTTAGATTTATTGACCTTTAAAGCCTGGTTTTCACTTGTCTGTTCACTTTAAATTCCTGGAATATTATAGTACATGTTAAATCTAGCTCGGGGCTACATGTGTGGTTGTGTTTTACAGGTGCTGTGCGTGTGGGCATGATAGGTGGAGAGATGCTGATCAACCCCACTAGGGCACAGATGGCCTCCAGTAGTCTTAACCTGATTGTGGCTGGAGCCCCCTCCAGTCAAGTGGGTGAGTTGGCAAACACTATAAAACTCCCAGGTGTTTATTTACTGAATAAGACAAGCAATAACACAAATAGTTATTTAGAATTAGTACTTGCCTGAACATGTCATAATGCTATAAACAGCTGCTTATAAATCAATTGCAAAGAGTATGTGATCTTTAAAAATAGGAGTAACTTCTTAAGAGTGGGAAGAATTCAAAAATGTATTCAATAATGTAATAACACTATTAAACACTATTAATTATTATCATTACTCAGCCATCAAATGTAAATGTTTCACACCTTGATGCCAGTCAGCGTGTGATGCTACTCATTGTCCAGGTTTTATTACATTTTCAGCTAATTGAAAGGGACATTTTATTTAATTTTGACAAGTTATTACTTTACTCAAATATAGCTTAGTTAGGTGTAGATGCCATTACCACAACTATTCTCAGCATCCTGAATTTTCAGCAATGTCACAGGTTATTAATTAGCCTCTCCTCTCTTCTTTGATGATAGCACCATACAACACTTCTTTAATGTGACTTCTTTAATGCGCACCAAAGGCAAATTCCTTGTACATGTAAAAACATACTTGGCAATAAACCCGATTCTGATTCTGTCCGCCAGTGATGATTGAGGCGTCAGCTGATAATGTGCTGCAGCAGGACTTTTGCCATGCAGTGAAGGTGGGAGTCAAATACACCCAGCACATCATACTGGGCATCCAGCAGCTGGCACGAGAGCAGAAGATCACCAAGCGCATCCCGATCAAGGTCTTCTCCACTCCGGCTGATATGGTGCAACATGTTCAGCAGTAAGACCAGTGATGGAACTTTTCCATAGTTTCGGGTTTGCGCAATGAAATACAAGGAGTATTTTTGCTATATTAGTAGAACTGTGTATGTAAAAGTAAAACCTCTTCATTTCATTTCCACTTTGAAGGATTTTTTTTCTAAATCAAACTGTCTGTAAATTTTGCCAAGGCAGGCATTATTCAGTATTTGGGGACCTTATTGAAGCAGCATCTGAGCTTAATTTCACAAAACTAAGTGACAAAAAATAGGATTCATATTGTTTTAGATGCTAGTAATGACTTGCTTTCTTTTCTCTCTTGCAGCTTAGCTTCTGAGAAGATCTATGCTGTTTTCACTGATTACACCCATGATAAGGTAAAGTTGACTCAGGGTGTCTGCCTCCTCTTAACATCTCATTTGGTCTTCTTATTGAGTTTTTAGTTTTCTGATTCTTTTTTTTTCTTCTGAAGTATTTTAAAGCAGCCAGAATCACTGATGTTTCTCTTCTCCGTGGTATGACAATGTTTATGTTTTTCAGATTCAGATAAGTACAGTAATAATCTTATCTTAATCTAATTTTAGATTTCAAGAGATGAAGCTATCAACAAAGTTCGACTAGAAGCTGAAGAGGGCCTAAGAGGTAGATCATCTTCATGTTGCATGGAAAGAATTTTAACTTGGCTGTTTCAAATATTTTTCTAACCCCCTTCACACAATCCTTTTATTTATATTTATTACATTTCAGATCAGTACAGTCTGCACTTAATTTGTGTTCTCATCTGTCAGCTGAATAGTGTCAAGAATAGTGTCATCTGATGTCTTCCATGTGTAGAAAGATTCCCACAGGCTGAGCCCTTCGAAATCATTGATTCCTTCAACACTGTGAGCAAAGATGTCTTCCGCAATTTAGTGCTTAATGAATATAGGAGGTAAGTCCATGGTGAAATGTTTATTCTTATGACAAATGATGTGCATAAATGTGATTTCTTTGTGGATTTTTTGCGTGTTGTAGATGTGACGGGAGGAATTTGACTGCTTTAAGGGACATCTCTTGCGATGTTGACCTCTTTAAACCACTGCATGGCTCAGCTCTGTTCCAGAGAGGACAAACACAGGTACCCACAGGCCAGGAAGGCCACAGAACCTTAGTTTGAAAGATATAGATTTGTAAAAGAAGAATTTGATGGAAGAGATGAAAGACTTTTAAAAGATAAAATAATGAATGTCTTGTAAGAAATTAGATTTTCACTGTGAAAAATCTGCTCTAGTCTTCTGACAAAGAAGTCCTCGTTCTCTTCATTTTCCTCTAGGTGCTGAGCAGTGTCACGTTTGATTCCCTGGAATCCAGTATCAAAGCAGACATTATCACCACAGCTTTGAGGTAAAATGATCACTCATTTTCACTCATGAAACCACACATTCATTGTGTTTACATGATCCGGACAGATCAGACAGTGTTGGTTTTTACCTCGACCATTGAACCACATCTTTAGTATTTTCCTGTCTATATCTGAATGCCATGTCACACAGTGTATCGTCCAATGTGGCAAACCTGCCTACATAATGTGACAGGTAAAATTATTCACACAGACTAAATCAATTAAAAGTAATCAATTATATCCCATTCATTTTCTTTCTGCAGCGGCATCAAAGACAAAAACTTCATGCTTCACTATGAAGTGAGTAAAATCCTGTTTTCATTTTCACAAATACTATTAGATGTATGATTCTGTATCCGTTGGTTATAAGATATACTTAAAATCATTTTGCCTTTAATTTCAGTTCCCTCCATATGCAACCAATGAGATTGGAAAGATGGGAGGCACCAACCGGAGAGAGCTTGGACATGGTTTGTGTTCAAATTTACACCCAGCGTCTACTAACCATTCATTCCCATGAAGAATCTTATGGACAAAGACTGTGTGGATGTATTAGTTCAATTTGTGTGTTTGTGTATATCTAAAGGGGCCTTGGCTGAGAAAGCTCTGAGACCAGTCATTCCTACAAACTTCCCTTTCACTATCAGGGTCACTTCTGAGGTGCTGGAGTCAAACGGTGAGTGTAATGACACAGTTTGTCAAAGTGTAAAAAGTCACCACAGGAAGTATGCCCGTTGTCTGGCAGAATGTCTCAAATAGGAACATATCTGTATCTGAATGTTTTTTGCTTGTTTTCTCATCCTCTCCCGCTCTTTATCTACTCTCAGGATCCTCCTCAATGGCTTCAGCATGTGGAGGCAGCCTTGCTCTAATGGATGCGGGTAAGTGGGGATGCATGAAATTCTGAAATTTACTGTTGATGATATGTACTCATATTTATTATTTTTACTTCACTTTAACGCTGCTGCTAGAATTTTATATCTTCCAATAAGCTAATAAAAGTGTCAGTTATATGTAGGATTAAAAAAAACATTTATTTTCAAAATCAAGTTGTATTTAATGACCAGTGTGTAGGATTTAGTGGCATCTAACTTGCAACCAACTGAATAGTGCTTGCCTTCCAAGCGAGTAGGAGAAACTACAAAGGCCGGAAAACAAGCAAAAAACGCAAAAGGCCCTGTCTAGAGCCAGTGATTGATTTATCTGTTCTGGGCTACGGTAGAAACAAGGCCGTTCATGGCATAGAAAAGGACCCGCTCCCTCTGTAGATAAAAACGGTTCATTCTAACTCACAGAGTGTTATTTTCAGATGATACATTAATGGAAACATATTTAATATTATATTCAATTTTTGCCAATAGATCCTCCTAAATGTTACACACTGGACCTTTTTAAAAGATTTTTAGACAGATAGACACACTATTTAAAGATTAATATATAGTTAGATTTGCTTCAGTGTTTCTGTTCACAGTTAGGGAAGTGCATTTGTGTGATAATATGTAGCTAATATGTTCATATCTGTGTCTCCCAGGTGTGCCCATCTCCTCTGCTGTGGCAGGTGTAGCAGTCGGACTCATCTCCAAGGCCTCCCCAGAGAAACCTGCTGAGATCCAAGACTACAGATTACTAACTGATATTCTGGTACATATTGTGCAACTGTAGCTAGTGACCATTTATCACCACCAAGTGGAAGAAAGAGTCTAGTTAAGCAATACAAATCCTCATGAAGTTATAACTAATGTCCCTGCTTAATCATAATTGGATGGAATATAAGCTAATTGCCATTTTCTTAACAGGGAATAGAGGATTACCTTGGAGACATGGACTTCAAATTAGCAGGAACAAACAAGGGCATCACTGCTTTACAGGTACTGTGTCATTGTAACATCCAGACAAACAGGGTCCTTTTTAGAAAGAAAGAACCATTGTTTGGCTTAGAAGACTTTATGGTAGCCATCAGACAATGAGAAAAGGCCAGACAATACATAAAACTGAAATGTTTTTGCAGCATTTGACTCTTTACATATGCTAGTTTTGCATGTTAGCGATACAGTAGCTCAACAATATCACATGTACGCTCTTAATGGTCCTTTAAGTTTCGTCCTTAGGTCCATGTTTTACGCTCCTTTACACAACTTTATTTAACCCCCAGGCTGACGTGAAGATCCCAGGTTTGCCTCTGAAGGTGGTCATGGAGGCTATCCAACAGGCCACAGGTAAGCTCACATGACAGAGAAATTAAACATTTTACGTGCAAGTGTGTACATGTTTGGTGGTTTAATGGCCTTTCTTTTAATTTTATTATGTTCTAGTGGCAAAGAGGGAAATATTGGCCATCATGAGCAAATGTATAGCAAAACCCAGAGAGACTAGGAAGGAGAATGGACCTGTTGTTGGTAAGTTTTGTTTGTGTTTGTACATTTTGAAGGAAGAGCAGAGACATGCTGGGAACAAGATGAGCATGTTTTTGGTTCTGCACTTCTAGCTTAGCACGCTGTTAGCTAAGCGGACTAGTTAGTTTAACAGGTTGTTTGGTTAATTTGGTTGTTCAATGTGCATGGTAGTTAACCTAAAATATTGGTAGCATTATAGTCAGTCTAACATGATCATATAGGAGCGTATGCTTTGGTGCTTTAAGATGAGGTAGATAAGGGCCATTTTTTGGCTGTTGCTTGGTGCATTTTAGCTTCACACATGTTAGGCGGTTGTACTGGGTTAGTATGATATTGTTGAAAAAAAGTGGTTATAACCTTTCTATGGTGGGTTGTGTTGAGTGTGTAGGTGCAGGTTGGGTAGAGGGTTGGTTATGGGACGCTTGAACACCCAGTGGAGCCTTCTTGGTGTCATGGGTCCAACTCAACAAAACACCAGAGGGTGCCCACCTGATGACCCTGTAGACCTGCCACTCCGACACATATTCATTTTGGTTAGGTCAAGGGGCATAATTGAAGAAACATTTTCATATTAGAGGGGTTGCTGATTAGTGGCTATTGGTATCTTACCTGGTGGAACCAGTTATAGACAGCTATTATAGGTTATAGCATTCAGATGAAGTTGCCAGTGTAGTTTAACCTGAGCAGATACAATGTAGATGTAAGTCCGGGTTATGCCATCAACTACCTGCTCTTTGCATGTGTTAGGTTAGGTTAGGATTCAAGGATGGTTTAAAGGCGCAGTGGGTGAGAATGGATGCTGATGGTTTCTGATATAACAAGTAACTATTTATAAGACTAGTGACCAGTGGAGGTAGATAAATAGTGACGATAGCAGAAGTATTGAGCGAGCCATTGGCGTTAAGGTGATACCTACTATCAAACAGTGCCGTGTCTTGATAACTGATGTGTGTGAGTTTTATTCCGTCGTCAGAAAATGTCCGGGTGCCTGTTTCCAAACGAGCACGCTTCGTTGGTCCAGGGGGCTATAACCTCCGCAGGCTACAAGCTCAAACAGGTAATGTGTTATCTAAAATCCATATTTAACAGATTCAGAAACATAACAACTTTTGTGAGTGAAGTACAGTTTCCCTTTCTCAGTCTGCTTCACAATACAGACTTTTTAAACAGAATGTTGAAACTGTATATTTTATTTTTCTTCTTAAGGTGTGACAATTAGTCAGGTGGACGAGGAGACTTTCTCTGTGTTCGCTCCAACACCAGGAGCCATGAGCGAAGCCCAAGACTTCATCACTGACATCTGCAAAGATGATGTGAGTCTCTACCATTTATAGGGACCTTTTTAGAAAAACTGCATATTTAAACTAATGTTAAAGCCATCACAAAACAATCATGAATGGTGCTTACCAGACCATATTACAATGCTGAGAAAGACTGACATTGATATGAACATGGCACTGTTTGCATGTGTGTATACATATTTATATGTACAGTATGTACATGAACATACATGTGTATTTGTGCGTATTTTGTGTATTGCAGCAAGAAATGCAGCTGGAGTTTGGTGCCATCTACACTGCCACCATCACTGACATAAGGTAAACCAATGCATTGCTATGTTGGCTGTAAAACAGTATTAGATGCCATGTCATTTGCACTCAATTTAACAGTTTTCTATCTAGGAGGATTTTATTTATGTTCTCAATAGTCAAGAAAATCACATTGGGAGTATCAAATTATGGATAAATCAAACTTTAAGCATCCAAACAGCTTCTGAAGCCTTTTCCTGCTCTGCTTCAGGGACATTGGTGTGATGGTGAAACTTTATCCCAACATGAGTGCTGTCCTGCTGCACAACTCACAACTCGACCACAAACGGGTCAGTGAATTTGCCCCTGCATACTGTGTTTGTCTGCGTATCCATCTCTCTCTGTGTTTAATTATAAAATCTCCTTTGCATTGTCCTTTTATAGATCAAACATCCAAGTGCGTTGGGTTTAGAAGTTGGACAGCAGATACAGGTACGTGTCAATAACTACAAACAGTGTTGTCGTAGTGTGTTTACATTCTGGGCTCATTGTCTCTGGACTGTTGGACTTATAGGTCAAATACTTTGGACGGGACCCAACGGACGGCAGAATGAGACTTTCAAGGAAGGTGCTCCAGACTCCTGTTGCAGGGGTTGTCAAGACGCTAAGTGAGAAACAGAGCATCTCCATGGATTCAAGCAAAAACAGCCACACGACCAGCACCGATTTGTGACACACCAACGCAACACTTCTGGCTTTTCCATCAAAGTGGATTTAAACTGATCGTGTCACAAACTGAGCCAGTGCTCTGCATAAAGAGGTGTACCCTGCTGTTATGAGTATGGACGAGAGTGAACTGTGTAGCTCATCAAATCCAGTGTCCTGCTGTCATTGTGCTTCAGTGGATGTGAACAAACTGAGATGAACCATTGGATAATAATGAGCAGGAGACACATTTCAAAACTTTTTATTCCCTTTTTATGGTGTCTTGTTTTCAGATGTGCCACCTCAGCTAGCATTGACAGCATCAAGCAGTAAGATGGTTTTCTTTCAGTTCTCGTCAACACTGTCATGTAGTAGCCAACAAACACAGAGCAATTTAACAATGGTTAAATGGTGGTGTGTGACTTCCATATTTGGTGTTCACATGGTGGTGTGTCCTCTAAGCTGCCAGGACAAAGATATCAATATGTTTTGTTGAATTGACACTATATTTGTCATATGTAAATAAAACAGTCACTGGTTGCTGACAGAAAAATTGTGACAAATTGTACTCATAGAAAAAAAGGTCACTCAAATCAAAACAGTATAGAAAAAAATCATACCATAGTCATACTAAAAGTAAAATCAGGTTTTAGACTATAAAACAGAGGTAACAAGATATGAGGCGGAATAAAAAGCAATGCAATAGAACTGGATAATAAACTTAAACCCAATGTGGCCCCTTTTAATGACCAGGCAGTGATTTAAGTTTTAGATCCTCTTCGACCAAACCTGGAGCATGCCTAGCCATTTCACCACTGTAATTGTAAGTAAAAAGGCTGTCTTTATACATAACTACTGTAATTCTTGTCGGGCTGGCTTAAATGTGGATTTACACAGAATTTCAATACAATAAATTAAACTGTTAATGTACACACTTCTGTTTAACTGACGCTGACCCATGTTGTGAATTGGAAATTGTTTCCTGATGACGACAAAGAACAGAGAGTGATACTGCTAGGAGCATTATCAGTTTTATAAGAAATGAGCTGCGAAAGTACGGTACTTTAAACAGCACGAAGTGGGTTTTTTTCTAGGCTGCAGGACCTTTGTAATGCTCAATATCTGTACTAATAAACTGAGGTGGTGTTTGAAATAATTTGGGTGTCTGTTTGTCTTACTGATCCTAAGGGCAAAAACGCTTAATGTCAGGTTCTTTGGATGTAGAAATTAATTCATAAAGTCCTTGGAAAATGATGTTAAGAACCTTTGTTTTTTTGTTTTAGCCATTTAAACCCCATTGGTTGTTAAGCTGTTGCTGTCATGTCTTTGTTTTCATTAAGCAGTTAGTATAGTACCGTATTGTAATGTCTATTACTTAAAAAGCAGCTCAAACAAATGCCAGTTGTGTCTCTATAATGTCACCTGCAGGTAACTGCTGCTGCTATTACTCCTGTTGCCTGTAGGTGGCGCCGCGAACTTCTGGCGCTGCGGTTTCGCCATTGGATGATGTCGCTCGGAGGAGGAGACCCCGCGGCAGTTAGCGCTTGATTGACGTCGAAGAAGAAAAAGAACACAAGATCGGATTACAAGATGGCGGTCTGTGGACGTTAGCAAGAAGGCCGTTGGAGTTGTTGTGTTCTCTGTGAATTTTACTGTTTGATATCAGGCCTCTTGTTGAGTAGTTACACGTCGTGAACGTAATATGTTTATGAAATAGCTACCAATATATTTTACTGCTGTTGTGAACTTTACTTAGACGTGCATGTTTTATAACATGCGGGTGGAAACAAAGTTAACAGGTCGAGGGTAGAAAACACCAGACGGGTGAGGTGATAGCTTGTTAGCAGCCAGCTAGCCTGCTAGCTCCGACTCGGTTAACCATGTCGGACACTCGGCGGCGAGTGAAAGTATATACGCTTAATGAAGATCGGCAGTGGGACGATCGGGGTACCGGACACGTTTCGTCTACGTTTGTTGAACGGTTGAAGGGGATATCATTATTAGTTCGGGCCGAATCAGACGGTAAGTTCCCAGTTAGCATAGCCGCATTGACGTTACGTTGGCTAGCATTAGCATGCTAACTCCTGGTTGTTCGGACAGAATGCTTCAATTGGCCAATATGTGTACTTGGTTAACTTATTGGGCTCGTTTCCTTTAATTTGCTGAAGCATTCTGAGCCAATTGTTTTAGACTGTTTGAACAACCCACCAGTATTTGCCCAGCTTTTAGATAGAAGGCAATCATTTATGAAGTGGCTAGCTGGTGCTAGGAAGCTCGTTGGTTTAGCAGGCGACGTGATATTAGTAGCATGGGGGGGGGGCCTTCAAAGTCTAGTCTTAAACGTACAAACTTGTTATTGCTCATGATAATAAACCATCATATATTCATACACAGATTGTAAAAAGGAAATAACATTTGGAAATGCTAGCGGTGGATAATAAACCCATCTGTTGTTAGTTCTAACTTTGTATTTTTACAACATTGTTTTAATTGTCACATTGTCTACTTAGCGTTGAATGCTCTGTGCCAGACAGATTCATTGACTTTAACCTTCAAGAATTGGTTAAGTTATAATATGTTAATCTTTGTTGTGATCATTCGCACTGGCTCGGAAGTGAAAAGTTACCTAAGTCTTTGTGTTTTAGGATCACTACTATTGGAGTCGAAGATAAGCCCGAACACTGCATATCAGAAACAACAGGTAAGAATAGGTCATACAACTTCTCACATACATGTCGGGTTCAAATTCTCAGTATTTTCACAATTAGAGTGTTGCATCGTAATCATTTCAACAAAGAGGCTTTCTGGTGGCAAGTATTGCAGACAGTGTAAATTCACTACCTGGTTTGATTTGTAAACGTGGAAACAAGTAGCTTATATGCAAGTCACTTCATTACAATACCTGAAAACCTGAGCCAATTGTTTCCCTATTGTTGACAAGGTGGTCTCGCACATTATTTTCTGTGTGAATTAATACAACCATGTTTGAGTGTGTCCTGTCAGACCAGGTCATGATGAGATTTCTCATTGTGTAAAGTTTGATGTTTCTTTCTCCTCCTTCCAGGACACACTGATTGTCTGGTCGGAAGCAGATAATTATGACCTTGCTCTGAGTTTCCAGGAAAAGGCTGGCTGCGATGAGATCTGGGAGAAGATTTGCCAGGTAAAGTCAATCCAATTTTTTTTTTTTTTTAAACTGTCTTTTTGTTGTACACACACAGTTTGCTGGTGCTAAAATTATATTGACATTACCATAAGGGGCAAGAGGCAATACATTAATACTTGTAGTTTAATTCTTCACTTCGTATTTACCAACTTTTTTTTTTTCCCAGGTTCAAGGCAAGGACCCTGCCCTGGATATCACCCAGGATCCCATTGATGAGTCGGAGGAAGAACGCTTTGAGGAGATTCCAGAGACAAGCCACCTGGTGGAGCTCCCTCCTTGTGAGTTAAGTCGACTGGAGGAAATTGCTGACCTGGTTACCTCTGTCCTTTCTTCGCCCATCCGGAGGGAAAAACTCGCCTTGGCCCTGATGAGTGAGGGCTACATCAAGAAACTCCTGGGTCTCTTTAGAGTATGTGAGGACCTGGACAACAGGGAAGGCCTACATCACCTCTATGAGATTGTCAGAGGTGTCTTGTTCCTGAATAAAGCGGCCCTCTTTGAGGTGATGTTCTCTGACGACTGTATCATGGATGTGGTGGGCTGTCTTGAGTATGACCCTGCGCTGGTTCAGCCTAAACGGCACCGGGAATTCTTGACCAAGACAGCAAAATTCAAGGAGGTGATCCCTATCACGGACTCTGAGCTGCGGCAGAAGATCCACCAGACCTATCGGGTGCAGTACATCCAGGACATCATCCTGCCCACACCATCTGTCTTTGAGGAGAACTTCCTGTCCACACTCACCTCCTTCATCTTCTTCAACAAGGTGGAGATTGTCAGTATGTTGCAGGTAAGGGTCCAAACCAGGTAACTTGTATTGTTCTTCAAGGCACAGCCATTGTCGGTTTTTCTGTACGAACTTTCATTTTCAGTCCGTTGAATGGGTTGCAGTTGAACATTTCTGCACATAGAGTATTTCTTTGGTGTAGTGTGGCTAGTGCCTCATTTTCCACTCTGTTGCCACTGACTACATTTTGTTGACAAATGCAAGCGAACCTGTCCTCCCTGTGGTTCCAGACAATAACATAATTCCATCATTAAATGTGTTGATTTCTTCTGGGAAAATGTGAAATGTGAAATCATGTGGAAAATAATATTGAGGTTTTATCTAAGGAAGCCTTGTTTACAATAATTTGGGTAAGGATTGTGGTAATATACCTGTACATGTTGTCATCAAACAATGCATATGGGCACTTGGGAGACATTTAATTTTATGGTAGTTTTTGTCTACTAGTGTAAGATGTGTCTCTGTATCAAGTTTTGTAATGTGACGATTGACCCATTAAAGATGTAAAATAATAAACATTTTTGGAAGGTCATTCAGCAAACAAGTTCCATTGTACTGCCTGTAAGTGGATTTCAATATGGAGCTTTTGTGAGGCCAGTGTTAATTGGAAATAATTTGTACCATACAATCATTTTCATGATGCATGAACAGTAGGTAACAGTCCATCCATTTCATATTCAAGTGTTCAGCATCCAGTGATTGTATTTTGGGAATAATGAGAAGTGAAGTGGCTGTCTCTAAGAGTCATGGGTTTCCCTCAGGGTCGCTGGAATATTTAATTTTCTTGATTCTTGAATCTTGTTTCTTCAAAACTTGAATACAACTGTCCAGGATTAAATTTTGTATTCTTCCTTTGTTTCTCTTAGTATTTTAGCCTTTTTTTCTTAACTCTGTTTCCCTGTGCCACAGGAGGATGAGAAGTTCCTTACGGAGGTCTTTGCACAGCTCACAGACGAAGCCACAGAGGACAGTAAAAGGAGAGAGCTTGTAAGTTGTGAAAATGTTGTTGTCTTTCATTGCTGGGACAATTAAAATGGCTCGCTATTACGTTTATTATGTAGATTCATTCACACCTGACTGTAATGTCATTTCTTTTGCAAGGGTTAAATAATTACTGACTTTTCTGTACAGGTTTTCATGATTTTTGATGTGAATTGCCTCTTTGTCTACTGGCTTGTATTACAACATTGGCAACATTATGTGAAGCTATGTACAGACGGTGGCAACAAATTTCCATGAAAGGACAACAAAGAATTCTATTCATTCAACAGCGAAGGCTCTCCCTGAGATCGAAAGGAAATAATTCATTCTATTGGCCGATGCGCTTATCATTTATTCAATTTTGGAAAAGCTTCTCATCCTTGAATGAAGAAGATGAATGTGTTTGAGACAGATCCAGAAATTAATTTCCCCACTGTTGTACAATCTCACAAATGAAACAGTGCTTGGGGACATTGTTTTTGTCAATGACCTTTTTACTGTTTGCTTTAAATCAAAAACTGCTGATCACCCATTACACCCATTTTCTTCTCTCCTCAGGTGAACTTTGTCAAGGAATTCTGTGCTTTTTCACAAACGTTGCAGCCGCAAAACAGAGACGCTTTCTTCAAGACTCTGGCAAATCTAGGCATTTTACCTGCTCTTGAAATAGTCATGGTATGTTCGGGCATTGCATAAATGTGAATATCTAAGTTGGTGTTTAACTTTGGTTAAACTTATTCCATGTTTCTTTCTTGCCAACTAGTGTATGTGTGTAGAATTCTCTTTGTTTCTGTCTTCATCTCTTTCCCCCCCTCCTGTTCAGGGAATGGATGACCTGCAGGTGAGGGCAGCAGCTACAGACATCTTCTCTTACCTGGTGGAATTCAGCCCCTCCATGGTCAGGGAGTTTGTCATGCAGGAACCACAGCAGACAGACGATGTAAGCACCTAAAGATCACTGTCAACAACCATACTTACACAGTTCAGTTCAGTCCATGATTGCATTTAAACAAATTCTACATATTAAAAAACATTCTCTGTAGCAAAGTATTTTATGACAAGGGATGTAAGATGAACTCTCAATATCAAATGGGCTCTGAGATATACAATAGAGTAAAATGCAAAGTGGATGGACGAGGCCTACAACTGGCAGAGAAACCAGAAACCATAAACTATGCATTGATTATAATTGATCTACTTGTTATCAACAAAGCCTTCTATT